AAAAAAAAAAAAAAAAAAAAAAAAAAAAAAAAAAAAAAAAAGATCAATCCATTATAATAAAAGCAAGACACCCGAAATAAAATGAAAATGAAAGAAGACCAATTAGATCAATACATGATGATAAAAGTAAAGACAATCCAATTCAATGAGAGTTTTGTTTAATCGGTGAATCGAGCACATCCAGTGATGGCAGCACAACCACGACGATAAGGATTGATCCTTCTACGCTTCTTGCAATCATAGTAGGAGTGACCACGACGACCACAAGGGATATTATTCTTACTAAGTGCATAGTAGGTCAAAAACCTCTTGCGAGCTTCCCTATTATAGGCGAATCCATATTCGAAGAGTTGTCGGCGACTATCTTCAGTCATGGCTTCGGCTTCGGAGGAGCCTCCACCAAAGAAGCTATATTCAGAATTATCGTCAACGAGGGATGAACCGTGGGAGGTTTCATGGAAGGCAAAGGAGAGCGGAGCAACGAGGGCGAAGACGAGGAGGAGAAAGAGGCAGATCTTCATTGTTTCCATGTTTGTGAAAATGTGTGAGATGAAACCCTCGGTTTTGGTTTCTATTTTTCCCCTTCTTTATTGAGAGAAGGAATGGTTATTTATAAACGGTTTAAATAAAGAGCCTCTATATATAAACAAAATCTAAAGTTGGTTATTTCTTTTTTTACTTCAAAAATCCTACTTATAAATAAATGACAATTAAAATATTTATAAACGTGTCATATATATATTGATATGTGTGAATTTTTTATGGATCGATATGCTTATGATATGATATGTGTATGTTATAATACATGAATTGTATTATAATTACTTATGGTACGATGTGTTCAATGATCTGTTTGAGATAGAATACGAGAAGGATGCACTAAACGTAATGTAATAATAGGAGTAAGATACGTTCATGAAACATTAAAGTGAGGTTAGATATTGAAGTGCTATGGATACAAGAGATTGATAAAAGAATATGATTAGGTTGTGGGTAGAAAGAGATAAGATTATGATAGATTGATAGAGTAAGGATACGTTCCTATAATGATATGACTAAGTACGTTCATGTAACGTTATGACTGTAATAGATATAACAATGTTAAGGCTGTGACAAGTTAAGGAACGATATGACCACGAAGTGTTTGACATGATATGATTATGATACAATATGTGAATGACGGATATATATATATTTTGTGAAATGATATGAAAATGATATGAATAATGTTACCGAGATATGTGATAAGTGACATGTTTATGATATGATATCTTGTGGTGTGATGTGATATGTTATGGTATGACATGTATATGAAGAAAATTGTTATACTTGGAAGCATGAAATGTTATGATATGACATAGTTATGTAATTTGAATGATATGATGTGATTGACATGCAAAACGAAAGAACTAGCATGAAATACAACCTAATGTTATCGTGACGGTTACTAGTTCTAACGGGTGTCTGGTCTAAGAAACTCCGAGAGTATGCTCGCCGCTTGAACGAAATGAAAGATATTGTCGATAAATAGAAGCATGTCTTGTTCATTAACATCTCAAAAATATTCCACCATAGTTAGGGCCGTTAAACCAACTCTCATATGAGCTCTATGAATACACCTCCATGAGCTTTGGTAATGTTGTTGATCACAGATACACCTCCATGAGCATTGACAATATTGTTGATCAATTTCACAATGAGTACTCTTTTATGTGATAATATATATTACATTTTTGAACCATCAATAATATATATTTTAAAATTAAATCAAATTACATTTTTGGTCATATTATTTAAATCGAAATTACATTTGGAAAATTTAAAAAAAAATAATAATAATAATAATATTTTATGTGATAAAATTAAAATCATTTTATTTACATCCATCAATAACATGTTAAAAAAAAAACTAAAATAATTTAACTAGACAACAAAACTCCCTTTAATGGGTGAATCGAGCTTAATCATTAAGTTGAGCTCATTTAGTAAGGGTGACACAACCACGATGAGTATTTAAAAAACAAAAAAAAAGACCGAAACAAATTTAAAAGGAGACCAATTAGATCAATCCATTATGATAAAAGCAAGATACCGAGATAAAATTAAAGGAGAGCAACGAGATCAATACATAAGGATGATGAAAGATACATGATGATAAAAAAGCAAAGGTAATCGAATTCAACGAGACAACAGAAGTTTGTTTAATCGGTGAATCGAGCACATCCAGTGATGGCAGCGCAACCGCGACGATAAGGATTGATCGTTCTACGCTTCTTGCAATCATAGTAAGAGGTACCACGACGGCCACAAGGGATATTATTCTGCCTAAGTGCATAATAACTCAAATACCTTTTGCGAGCTTCCTTATTATAAGCGAATCCATATTGGAAAAGTTGTCGGCGACTATCTTCAGTCATGGCTTCAGAGGAGTCTCCGCCAAAGAAGCTGTATTCAGAATTATCGTCAACGAGGGATGAAGCGTTGGAGGTTTCATGTAAGGCAAAAGAGAGTGGAATGACGACGACAAAGACGAGGAGGAGAAAGATGTAGAGCTTCATTGTTCCCATTTTTGAATGAGTGAGAGGAAGCTCTTGCTTTTCCTTTCTATTTTACCTCTTCTATTTATTCAACATTAACTCTCTAAATAAAGACTCTTTCTATATACACCAAATTTAACTAATCACCATTATCTTCGTTGACAACGTCATTCCCAATTTTTTTATTTATTTATTTATTTATTTACTTCAAAATGTTAAATTGATGAAAATTAGATTAATTTATTTTATCACGGAACTAAATTATTAATAAAATTACTAATTTCAATAATATAAAAAATATATATTTAATTTAAATGTAAAATTAATATTTAATATATTAAGAAAAAATATATTTATTGTATTTAATACATTAAATATTAAAATAATTAATATTTACTAAATACATCAATACAAGTATATATTTGAAATTGAAGTAGATTCACATATATTTAGAGTTACTACTAACGTCTCATTCTCTTCCATTTCCCTTACGTACATAATTTCCATTTCCTTTCGTCTCCCCCTTCTGTAATTATACTTCATTCCCTTTCATTTCCCTTTTTACGTACTTATTCTCCATTCCCTTCCATCTCCCTCGGTATGTACTTATGCCCCATTCCCATTCCCTTCCATCTCCGTCGGTACGTACTTATTCCCCATTCCCTTCCATATCCCTCTATATACTTCTTCCATATTCTCTTCCATCTCCTTTTGTACGTACTTATTCTCCATTCTCTTTGATAAATCAATAAGGATGTTGGCCTCAAAGGGGTAGATTTGGTGGGGATCTCACGTCGATTGGAGAAAGAAACGAGTGCTAGCAAGGACGTTGGGTCCTGAAAGGAGGTGGACTGTGATATCCCACATTGGTTGGGGAGGAGAACAAAACACTTTTTATAAGGGTGTGGAAACCTTCACCTAACATACGCGTTTTAAAGCCTTGAGGGGAAGTTCGAAAGAGAAACTCCATCTTAAGGTACTACTGTGGACAAGATCACAAAAAGAGAATTAACTGGCAAACTCCCTAATAATCTGCACAGAGTATGCATAAAATATAGTCCGTTCCAAAATGACATCAAGTTCACAATTAGGAGTTATTCGGCGAACCCTTAATCTTCTCCGTATCATAACATTATGCATTGCATGAACATTTTTTTCGTACCTAGACATGGTCCATCGAGCTTGGTTTAATCCTAAACTTTAATAAAATACCTGTCATAACATGCATCCAAACATACTACAAACCCAACTTAATCTAAAATTTTGAGGTGCTTGACACTTTAATCGTTCAATTCAGATCCTTTAAAAGTTTAAAATCTCTTCACTCCTCCAATAGACCCATGTCAAATCAAGAGAATAAAATTGGTGAAAACGGCTCGAGAATCGGATTCTAAGAGGTTTAAAAATCATAGAAAAAAGGAGAAGGCTATGACCCAACAGCTAAGACACGGCCAAGCCCTAGCCCTCACATGCAACCCAGTGACACTTGTCGTGCATGCAGACGCCAACTCCTTCGACCTGATCGGCTCGGCCCGGCTCGCGCGGCTTTAATGTCTGGAAAGCAGCTACTCGGCTCGGGTTGCACAATTTCACACCGTTCCTTACATTTTTTTTACCTCTATGTAGCTGAATTTGACCATAATTAAGGCAATTGAGGTCAATATAATGTCCTATTTCCCAACTTCAGGTTGAATTAAGTTAGAAATGTGAATTGTTAACGACACAAGATGAATGTTCTATAATAGGAAACAACTCTCAACGATACTTGGAGTAATTTTGGGACGGAATTCAAACATACTCGAGTTTAGGGAAAAAGTTGGCTAAAGCCAACCAAGTAAGTGGCCTTACTATCAATTCGGTCGAAAGACTTGCCTCGTGTATGACGACACGTGTCTAGTGGCCCTTGCATGTGTCATTTATGCTTTATATTAGATGATATGACTATGTTATATGATATTATATGATGACGTAATATGATGATGACATGATGTTGATGATGTATGATAACATGATGATGAGATGACTTTATATAATGTTATTCCATATTAAATGCGTGTATTACATGTCATGATATATTATGATGACGAGTTTTCTAAGACACGTACCTAAATGATGTTAATGATGAGGAACGTATGAAAGTCAACACATGCACATTACCTTGCGTGATGTGTGAATGATGAATAAGGTTGTGTCATAAAGATGATTTAAAAGTGAAAATTATAGGGACTTCATGCATTTTGTGTATTCATATACATCGAGTTACTTCTTCATTTATGATAATGAGTACAAACACAGTAAACCCTCGAGTGTCATGTGAGGCATGATGATGATGATGATGATGATCATAAATGATCACATGACACTCGAGGGTTTACTGACCTCTAGATGTCCGGCTACGGATAGCTAGACCGACTATGATGGGTCTAGGGAGGTGCGAACCGTCTGGAGATTGACGCTCGCATGTGTAGGTCGTGTGTAGCAAAATACTACACATCTAATTTTGTAAGAACTAGAGGTCACCCCTATGATGTTTTAAAGATAGGTCCCTAGCCATAAGTTGTATGTGTTTGCATTTCCTGATCTCAATAGTCGAGTCACTCAATAAATATTTTTTTAAAAACTCAACTCATGTGCTACTTCTATTTCCGGTAAAGGCAAGACACCCATGTACGACTGGCGACGACATCGCAATTAACGACCATAGCACGTGCATAGGATAGTCGTATTTCATTTTTTAGACTTTAGGTTAGTATAGGGCGTTTTTACTTTAAATATTTTACGTATTTAATTTAATATTGCATTATATTATTTTAAAGATGTTTTCGAACATGTAAGTTAATGACAATGTTTATGACGAAGTTTTAAATGTTTATTTCTGCATAAGAGAGCATATTACAATGACAGTAACGACCTTAGATTAGTACAAATCTAGGGTTGTTACAATGACATTCTCATCATGACATAACAATCACAAGGTACGACACGTACAAGGGCCATAGAGCGTGCT